TAGAATTATTCTGAACTAATTTTGGCTTTTCTTTTCTATTTTTTTGATTACTTTTTTTTTTTTTACTTTAGTCAAAGATAACTTTTACCTATTTGTTAGAGTTTTTGAATATCTCTTTTATTTCTTTAATATATTTGTATTTTTTTTATTATTTTGATATACTGCTTTTCATTTTCTTCTAGTATGTTATATACTAGTATATTTGCTTTGTAATTGCCAATATTACTATATAGTTTTTTGCTTGATGCCTATATATTTTGGTTTAGTAGTATTGCTATAATAATTAAGTCTTCTTCTTTTATTGATTAGATTTTTTCTTTTTTTTTACAGAATTTGTTGATTTTTGGTATATTTTTATTCTGTTACTTGCTTTATTTATAGCTTTCTGTTTATCTTTGTTTGTCTTGTATTTCTTTTCTTTCTTCTTTTTTTCTTTTTTTTATCTAAAGAAAATAGGGTTTTTTCTTGCTTGACTACTATTTAACTTTGTTGATTGGTTGTTATTTCAAGTTCTTTAAGTTGTTGTCTAGAACAAAGTAACAGACTTTTATTTCTATATATTGTGATACAAAAATTATTTTTTAATATATTATATATTAAAATATCAAAAAAGTAACTTTGCATTTTCCATTTGTTCACTTATATAATTTAGGATTATACAAAAATTTTAGGCTTATTCTACATCTCTATATATAGTTAATCTAGAAAAAAAAAGGTTTTTTGGTATTATATTAAAAATAAGGTTATTTTTTCGAACCCTATTTTTTTATTCTACACTTTATATATTATTAATCTACAAAAAAAGTGAAGTTTTTTTGGTATTACATTAAAAATTTAGAGCCCTATTTTCTTATTATATGGTTAATAAATCATTTTTCAAAGATATTTCACAATCTATTAGGCTAATTTTGATGATTTAATTATTATTAAAATCATCTTAATAAGCTCTACAACTTTAATTAGAGACTCAAAAATAATTAACTTAATACAAAAAAATTTAGAACTTAATATATTTAAATAAGTTTTAGACAAACAATGCTTTGTATTTACCTAGTTGTTATATATTTTCTATATTCATTATTACTTGTTTATTTGAATTTTATTTTTTTCTGTTTGTTATCACATTTTTTTACTATGATTACTATTCTAATATTTGAGGTTTCTTTTATAATTTTCATTTTATTCTTCTCTTTTTTAACTTTTTCTTAACTCATATTTGCTATATATTTAAATGATTCTAGATTTAATTTAATTATTTTTGTTTTTTCTAACTAGTTTTAAAAGGTTTGATCTGGGATTTTGTACTTAATCTCTTTTAAAGCTTAACAGATTTGCTCGAAAATTGTCAGTATTTTAAGTATTTCTTCATCTAGTCTTTTTGTTATACAAGTTGCTATATAATCTGCTTTTCTTTCTTTAGATTCTTGTAAGCATATTAATAGAAAGTTGCAGTTTATAATTTTTAGTTTTAGTACTGCAACTTTTAATAAATATTATAATAATCTTATATCATATAAATTTATATTTGTCATCTTTGTGTAATAGATCTTTGTTTAACTTGATGATCTATTTAGTTTTCTAGAATATTTTATTTTTGTGTTTTTAAATTGTTAAGCATATATGTTTTCTTTGTTGTTTAATTTGTTTTAAATATTAATAGTAAGACTATATCTCTAAAGTATACCTGCCTATTTTTGAGATTATCCTATTTCTGTAAATTATACATTTCCTGTATTTAAAGTTTAAATTTGTAAGTTTGTTACACAATTTTTAGCTTTTTTTTTTATATATAAATAAAATAGTTAAACAAATGATTTTTTTATACTAATTTGTTTTTTTAAACTCTTTATTAGCACAAAAATATATAGATGCTATTACATGTTTAATAGAATTCTGAACTAAATAGTTGCGATTTATAAAAAAAAAAAAAAAAACCAATATTATAACGATATATAATAACGAATTAAACTCACCAAAGACACTAAGCCCAAAAACATGTTTTATTTTGGGTCACTATAAAATTAAAAAACTTTTTCATTTTGTTATACTGATTTATGTATCCTAACGTTAAACAATGAACTTGAATTTCATTAGCGGCCCATCACAATTTTATGAGTTGATATCTAATTACATAATTGCATATGATTTAAACCCTCTTAAAAAAAAAATTTTAGTATATTCACAACATTTTTTTTTTTACCTATCGCTATACTTTTACAATAGTTGTGTAATATGAATCAATTAGTATCATCAAAAAAGTATACAAAATCTCGCCAAGCCTCTATTCAGGCAGCATTAAACTTTCTTGAGACCTAAAAAAATAGTATAAGTATGCCTTTAAGTGTTCGCAGGGTTGCTCTGAACTTTGATCTTGTTGAACAAATACTGTATGATGCTATAGCTTGAAGTAGTGTGCCTAAATGTCTAGATCTCTCTACAATACTCACGGCTAAGAAAGAAAATGAATTAGTTAAATACTGTCTGAATATGTAAAGACTCGAGTTCAGACTTACCAGAGCAGCTATAAATACAATGATTATACAAATGCTTAAAGTTAAAAACAAAGAATATTTATTTAAAAATAGCCTTGGCAAAAAATGGTAAAAACATTTTTTATGTGATCATTTATAGCTTTCTTTTCACATCTCTCAGAAACTTTCAAAAGCACGTGCTGCTAAGAGTAACCCGATTGTTATCCAGGATCATTTTACAAAACTTGAACAAATGATTGATGAGTATTCATTGATGGCTGACAGAATTTAGAATATAGACGAAAGTAGATTTAATATCTTGGCTCGGTTAAGAAAAGTATTAGCTCAAAAAGGTATTTAACAAGTCTATAAAACTGTGGCTGGGAGTTCAAAAGAACATGTATCCGTTTGTTCTACTATTTTAGCATCTGAAATGTATATTTTACTATTACTAGTTTATAAAGATATTAATGTAATTGGAGATTTATTAGACGGTATGTTAGTTCTATCTAGTACTGTTGCTGTATTTACTGATACTGGTTATATATACAAAGATATTTTTAGAATATATATAGAGCATTTTAACAATTCAATCTCCCCTACTAAATCTGTTATACTTATGTTTGATAGATTCACTAGTCATATCAACTTAACTAGTATTAAATACTGTAATGATAACAATATTCTTCTTTATGTTTTACTTTCTAATACTACCCATATTCTTCAACTATTAGAGATTCCCTTTAAAAAACTTAAGTCTGAGTATGATAAGACATCTAATCATTATCATTCTAATAATGAATATAAAGTAGTTACAAAGTATTCATTTGCGCAAGTTTTTGGTAAAGCATTTTATGAAATATACACTCCAAATACAATCAGATATGCATTTGCTACAACTAGCATTTGGCTTCTAAATCCTAATACAATTAATCCTGATCGCTTAACTCCTTTACTATCGACATATCAACCTGTTATTTCAAGTCAAAAAATAACTCATATGCATAATACAAGAATTAGCAAGTTAACTCAGCTTGAAAATGAAAATAAAGAATTATGCAAATATATTCAAAGGTTAGAGAATTCTGGAACTGTGTCTTTATCTTCAATTATGAAGTATCTCCATCCAAGACAATTATCTGTAGAAAAAAAACCTCAAGTCAGGCTTAAGGCCTTCAAGTTTGGAACACTTGTGACTGCAGAATCGATTGTAAGAGAATTAGAAGACAGAGATAATGTGAAATGAAAAAAACTTGAAGATGCGAAAGCAAGAAAAGAACAGCAAGAACAACGGGTTAATAATAAGAAAACAAAATAAGAATAATGATAAGAATAAATAGATTTTTATCTCATTGTTGAAGGGTAAAATAAATTTAGTATAGCCCACTAAATCTTGTTTTGTGTTGCATTTAAATAAAAGTTAACTTTTGCGAAATTAAATATTTGATTATTAAATATTCTATTAAATATACTTTAAACATATTTTTTTAAATGTAAGTCAACAAGAGCCTACTAAGTAAATATTTGCCATATTTGCTATAATAAATTTTACAACTTCTAAAATTTTTATAAAAAACAGGATATACTTTATTAGTTAGTTATTAATTTAATTTCAATAAAAAAAATTTTTTTTTTATAAAATTTTTTAATCTATAATTAAAAGGTTTTATCTATTAGTAAAATCTTGCCCAATTTGTATAAAACTTTTATATTAAGTGTAATTTAACATTGTGAACATGTTGACTTATTGCATTTTATTTAATTTATCTAATAAAAAAATTGCGTTTATTATATATCTTTGGGAATAGGATAGTAGCTTTGAATTTTGTTTTTTTTTTTTTTGGTTTTAAGGTGAGGCTTTACTCATATCTTTATTAATAAAATTTTTTTTAATAGTAATAGTGTAGATTACT